CACCCCCTCGACGGCCCAGGCGCGGCAGCCACCGCCGCTCCGCCGCGCATCCCACGCGGGCCCCTCTGGCTGGCCCGGCCGGCCCTCGGGCGCAGGGAGCGCGCTGCCGGCCACGCCGCTCGCGAGCTCGGCGCAGGGAGAGCGGCTCCCCCCGCGTGTGCCGGCGCCTCTGCGCGGCCTGCCTCCCGCGGCCGCGGCCCCCCATCCGGGGGAGGCCGCGAGAGGCTCTGGAGCGCTGCCGAGGTATGCGCCGCCCCTCCCTCGCTCCCTCCTGCCCTAATTGCTAACAAATGTCTTCTCAGCAGCGCGCTGGCGAGCAGGAAGGGGCCGGGGGGGGGACAGGCGAGCCCGGGCCGGAGAGGGGCTGCGGACGCGGGGGGGCCGGGCGCCTCCGGCAGGAGCGCGCGCGGCCCGAGAGGCCCGTGGGGCGCCGGGGGCCGGGGCGGCGCGGCGCGGCGGGCCTTGGCCTCCCTCCGCCGAGGTGCCGTGGGAGCATCTCCGCCGCGGGTGGGGGGCTTCCGGGGAAAGGGCGGGAGGGCGGGCGCCGCGAGGGGCGTCGCTCAGCGCAGCCAGAGGGGAGGCGTGTCTGCCCGTCTGTCCGTCCGTCCGTCCGCGCCGCGGTCCCCGGGCTGCGGCACCTGGGCTCCCGGAGCGCGGCACCCGCGCGCGGCCCGCCCCTCAGGCCCGCCCGCTTCCTGCGGAGAAAGGCTTGAATCGCGACCCGTTCAAACGCGCCGAAAGGTGCGCCTCTGGCCTGCAGTGACACCCTCTGCCACTCGAGGCAGCTTTCCCTGAGCGGCGCAGGACCTTCCTCGCCGGCCCTGCCGTTCGAGCCCGCGCAGTTTAGTACGTGGGGGGGGGGGGGGCAGAGTTATGCCCCGGCCGCCTCCCTGGGGCAGCCTCCCCAGGAGAAGGAGTGGGGCCCCCGGGGGCTCTCAGGATGCTCCGTGGCGGGGGCTGTGCCGGAGGTGCCGCTGGGCGCGGCTTCGCACAGGGGGGTGGGCACATGCTTGGCAGCTGGAAGCCCCCCCCCCGTGTCCGGCTAAGGGCTCTTCCGGCCCGTGCAAAGCGGCGTCCGTTCACTCAGCGGGGCGCGAAGGTGAAGGGTCCCCTGCACCCCCGGGCCGGGTGCAGCGAATGAGCGCGGGATGCGGGCCCTTCCTGCTGCAGACAGGCCTGGGCCGCCGAGTGGGAGGGGACGCGTTGCTCTGCTGCCCCCAAACTTCCGAGCGCCAGGCAATTCGCAGTCGAGTTCTCCTCCACCCCTTGGCCGAATCTGGCAGGTGAGCGTGGGCGCGCGGAAGGAGCCAGCGCTTGCTCGTGCCTCTGCCTGCCCGCCCCGTTTGCCCCCGGCACGTCGGCCGCCCCAGCGAGCCCTGCCCCACAGAGCCCGGCCCGGGGCACGTGGCCAGCTGCCGGATGGGGCTGTCTCTGGGCCCGCAGGCCTGGGGCGAGGGCTCTGCCCGGGCAGGCCAACGGATCCAGCTGCAGGGGAGCGGCCCGGTGAAGGTGCGCTGGGGGGCGGGGGGGCTTCCGATCAGCCCGCTGTCCTCCTGGCGGAGCCATGCAGCACCTGTTGGCCTGGGGAGAGGCAGCTGGCTGCGAGCCCCCCGGGCACATGCGCAAGCCCCCTGCGCAGGCACAGGAACGAAACCCGATCGTGTTTTGCTCGGTCCCTGGAAGTGGTGGTGCATTTTTACGAAATGAATTACAAGGTCGCTGGAGTGCCAGATTCAACATTTCGGAGCAATTTCAGAGCATGCTTGCTTTCACAGGAATACTGTCACTCCCACAAACCTTCAGGGTGGGTGTGTGGGGGATGTAGAAGGATTGCCGGACCGCCGGGCCCCTCCTCCCACAGCTGTTTGTGCAAGCTTGTTCCTAGCAGAGGTGGAATCCGACCCCTTCCAGAGAGTGAGGTGGTTTGAAGTCCAATTAACGCAGGCCTGTCCAAACCTCCCTGTTCTTTGTTCAAAGTATTCCTGCTCGCCATGTTGACGACACCTGCCATGTGCAATCACATAAAACCGAGAAAGTCACGTTTTGCTTTGATCAGCTCTCCTCTTAAGTATTCCATAAACCGAACGTTTATGCTTAACCGCATGTTAAACATAAGTTTAATAAAATGATTTGTTTGCTTCCCTTGCATTTTTCCCTCTTTGGGTTTAAACCAGGGACCCCTGACGCTCTGAGATCGCTGGGCACCCTGGGGAATTGGAGGAGCCTCTGCGGGCACCACCGAAACATGCCGGATCGGTGGGTCACACTTCGGCCTCCGCTGGTAGCAGTGAGGGGTTTTCAGCTGCGACTCGCTCAGCAAAACCCGCTTCTGTGTCAACAGGATGCTGCCCTGTCCCTTTACTAAGGGAGTGGCTAATTTGGCTAATTTGCTGGCAGGGCAGTGTGGCTGCTTTTAAGGACGTGTTTTGGCGATGTCAGCAGCTGCTTCTTTCGGGAGGGGTGTTTACACTGGTCAACTTTGTGCTGGAACAGCCTTTCAGGTTCACAGAGGGGCATGTGGCTTGAATCGTTTCCCTGCCACATGGAAATTCACAGACCCAGCGTAACTGGATTCTCACACCCTTCTGACAGCTGAGGACTAAGATCACAGCACGGGAAGGAGAAACTCTCACATTCTGTGAAGCAGTAGCCAGAGGAGCTCACACCACTTTCCGAGTCTGGATGGGCAGCGCACGGACACCACCATCCTGGGGCGCCTTTGTGCAATTTTGGTGCGGCTTTGGCGATGCTCTCGCTCAGTTTCCAGAGGCTGAATGCTTCTCAGGGGAAGCCATTGCTATGGCTGCGTGCAAATCCATACATCTGCATTCCTGAAAGAAAGCACATTCTCTCTCTCTCTCTCTCTCTGTGTGTGTGTGTGGTGCCTGCAAGCCTTCTGTTTGGGACCCCACCTTAAACCAAAAGCGTAGTGAATTAGATGAGTCACCCAAAGCTGCATGACCGACGCTGCTGAGACACTTCTAGCGCAGCCCATCCTAGCTGGCCATTTTCTGGGTGTGCCTGGACTGCGGCTCCCAGGTGATGGGTGGTGGGAGGTGATGGGAATTGTAGTGCAACACACCTGGAGGACGCTCAGATGGGGAGGCTGGATTGACAGTGCAAAAATGGCACCCTGTCTATCGATTTATGGCATTTCTGCAGCCCTCCACAGCCGGCGCACTCCCTGTAACCACAGTGCTTCTCGCCCACAACATGAGAACATGCGAAGAGCCCTGCGGGAGCAGGTGCAGGCCCACCCAGCCCAGCCCTCCGCACACCCACGGCAGAGCAGCTGCCTCCCGCGGGATGGGTGCATGGCCAGCAAGGCCGGCAGCCACTGAGCGCCACCTGCCTCATGAATCTGTCCCAATCCCCGTTTGGAAGCCACGCACGCTGGCAGCCATCACCGCCTCCGTGGCTGTGAATTGCACGGGTTCACGATATGCCGTGTGAAGCCCTTCCTTTTGGCTTGCCCAGACCTCCCACCCCTCAGCTTCACAGGATGACCCCGAATTTGAGTGTTACGGGATAGGAAGCAAAAGCTCTCCTCCGCTCCTTTCTTGCCACCATGCACTGCTTTAAATGCCTCGCCACATCTCCCCTTCCTTGCCATTTTTCTACTGAGCAGTCCCTGTGGTCCTGGCTGCTCGCCAGAGGGGAGCAGCTCAGCCCCCAGATCATTGCCCCTGCCCTTCCCTGAACTTCCTCCAACTCAGTCAAGCCCTTTTTCAGGTAAGGCGGCCAGAACAGGACGTGGGATTCCAAGGGCGGTCGCGCCACCGACACGCGCAAGGGAGCAAGGTCCTGGCGGCGTCCGTCAGGCTGGACGTGCACATGGTGGGCGTGTCATGGGCGGAGCCGGCTGGTGCTGGGGGTCAGACTAGATGGCCCGGGAGGCCCCTTCTGGCTCGCTCTGTTTCTCTGTTTCTATCTTCTCCTGGCACAGAGCTCGTGCCCCAATGGCCCTCGGTGTTTGCGGAAAGTGGGGTGGCCACCAAAGGGGGGGGGGTGCGGCTGCTTTGCTGCAGGAAGTCCCTGGCCCAGCCTGGCTAGAGGGTTCCGGGCTGGACACCGGGGAGAGACCAAGGGTGGCCAGATCTGGGGGGGGGGGGCACCTGGGAGATGCTGAGGCCAGTGCTGGGGGCTTGTCACTGCAGTGCTTCAGTAAACCACCGCCGAGAGAAGCGGCCATCCAGCGCTTTCTGCGCTCATTGCGCTGGCCTGGCTGGCTTTTGCGGCTGGTCCTGAGTGCAGCAGTCGCTTGCCCCCCCCCCCCCCGCTCCAAATGGGTGGATGGTCTGACTTCCCCCAAGGCAGCCACTTTGCAGCAGTTGAGGGTGGTTCAGGCAGCGACTGTGGCTTGTTATGACTTCCGAACCCTGTGAGGTTGGGTGGCGGGGAGGTCAAGAGGGCGAACGCCACCCTGGGTTGCATAGCCAGAAGTGTGGCTTCTGGATGGAGAGAGGTGTTGCTGCCACTCTGTACGGCTCTGGTGCGCCCGCAACTGGAGTATTGTGCTCAGTTTAGGGTCCCTCGTTACAGGAAGGATATAGCCAGGTTGGAGTCAGTGCAGCAAAGGGCCACAAGGTTGGTGGCCAGTTTGCAGGGGATGCCGTATGAGGCGAGACAGAGGAACTGGGTCTCTTCAGCCTGGAGAAGAGGAGACTCAGAGGGGATCTGTTGGCGACATCCAGGTATGTGAGGGGGTGTCACACGGAGGTGGGGAGAGACCTGTTCTCCCCTGCAGAGGAAGGCAGGACTTGCTCCAACGGAGGCAAGTTCAGGGAGCCAAGGTTCCATTTGGATGCCAGGAAGCACTTCCTGACAGTCAGGACCCCCAGGGTGTGGAGTGGGCTTCCATGGAAGGCGGCTGAGGCCCCATCGGTGCCGGTGTTCAAGGACAGGCTGGACATGCACATGGTGGGCATGTCATGAGCTGAGCCGGCTGGAACTGGTGGTCAGACTAGATGGCCCGGCAGACCCCTTCTGACTCGCTCTGTTTCTGTGTTTGTTAAACCCTAGCCAACTGCCCCCATCAAGCCTTGATGTCACAAGAAGCAGTGCCCAGCGAGGGTAGTCGGGCACAGCCAGCACACCCAGGAGCAGGCAACCAGCTGCCACGGTTCTGGGCTGCCATTGTCTCAGGTGAGTCCAGTCCGTGCCTGGAGGAAGGGCCCACCGGAGCTCAGGCGCAGGAGACGCTCTCCGTGTCTGGAAGGCCACTGCTGGCTTCAGCAGCTAAAGGGCAGCGGTGGGCAGCGTCAGGCCCTCGACCCACGCTCCGCTCCTTCCCGTGGCCATGCAGTCTCCCCTCTGACGGCCGGTCCTTTGCCGTTCCCGGGGCCTGCGCAGTGTTCTCCATTCCAGTCGGCTGCGATGCCTCTCACGAGATGTGGTTAGTGGCAGAAGGAGCAGCTCGTTCAATATGCTCTTTGGGTGTCCCCCCCCCCCCCGCTTCAGCGGAACGTGGGCTGCCAGGAGTCCAGCCCTCCGGCTGCAGGAGCTCGGCACCACGGATCCCGGGGATGAGCTCAGCGCAAGTGGATGGAAGTATTCAAAACACAATTGCACAGATGTGTGGGGATGAAAATATAAAAATTGCACGCCCCAATTGCACGTTCTTTAGTCCCAGGAAAACAGCCATGAGAGGTGTGGATGAAAAGGGATAGGGAACAGAGCAGGGAGGGGGGGGGGGGGAGAATGCGAGGGAGGGAGGGAGGGAGGTGGGATGCGTTGTGCCTGCTCCGGTGTGCCGCTATCCTCAGCCGGTGGTTCTTCACTTCCACTGCCTGGACAGGTGTGGGCATCCTTCTCAGGTCCATTCCGGCACACTGAACGCAAGGGAGCCCCTTCCGCCTGCTGTTTGGCGTCTTTCCTGGGGCGCAGGCCTTCTGGAGATGTGGCTGGCGCTGGGGGGCCGCCTGGAAGCTCTTGTGCCGGCGCCCTGCGCCACCCGGAGAAGGACCGGCGTCCCGGCTGGGAGCCGCGTGGGCCAGCGGTGTAGGGGGAGCCGCGTGGAGCAGCGCCAGAGGGCAGAGGGCCGTGCCAGGCCTTGAAGGGGTGGGGGGCCAAGGGGCGCAGTCAGGGGACGCATCGTGCAGAGCCGCAGCCCCCGTCGCGCAACGGGGGCCTGACTTCCAGCGCGGGCGCTCGCCCGGCCCACCGCCGCCGCGCCCCCGCTCGGGCTCCGGGGACGGCCTGCGCGCGCCTGCTGCCCCCTGCCGGCAGCCCGAGGCCCTGCGGGGAAACGCGGCCGCGCCTCCGCGCAGTTGCCCGTGCCCCCGCCATGGCTGGATCCCGCTCGTCGGGTGGGACCTTGTGAGGATCGGATCGGATCCTTTGCTCCTCTGGGCCTCGACTGACTGTGTCCCGCGTGCCGCCCACCCCGTCTCTGGAGCCGCTCCCTCTGGCCCGGGGTGCGAGACCACCGGCTTCCTGCCCAGCTTCTCTCTCTGCTCAGCTCACGCCTCCTTGCGCACCCAAGAAAACGGGCGCCGGATCCGCTGGCCTCCAGGGCGTCCCAAGAGGCCAGCGTGGCTCCTGCGGAGAATAAAGGCGCCGGTCCTTCCAGAACCACTGGAGGCTCTGCGGCATTTGCCCCGGACGGCGCGGTCCGGCCCTTACGAGGGCGCGGCTGGGGCTTGGGCGATCCGGGTCCGAGTCCCTGTTCGGCCACACAGGCCAAGATGGGGAGCAGCAGGAGGACAAAGGAAGCGCCCTGAGCTCCCGGCAGAGAAGCAAGTGCGGCAGAAACGAGATGCTTGAACAAGCAAGCGAGGCCAACCGGCGTCAGGCGGCTGGCCTCCCCAGGCCTGGACCCCCACCCCCAGGGCGGTCTGGCTGCAGCCGGGGTGCTCTGCACGCACAGCTGGGTGCCCAGAGCAGTTCTGCTGCTTTCTCCTCGGAGACACACGCCCCTGTTCGCATTCCTAGGCTGCATTGATGACCCCCACCCCACGGGACCCCCAGCTGCAGGCCGGCTCCCGGAGGCCGCTGCTGGGCTCGGTTTGCCATGGGATGCCAAGCCCACGCCGACCGGAAGGCTCAGTTGTACGGCCAGCGCTCGCCCCGCCGACTCTTCCTGCATTGGTGGGGACCCGACGGAGCTCAGGGGGGACACCAGGCAGGCCTCCAGCAGCAGCCCCCCCCCCCGACAAAGAGTCTTGCTATGGCAGCGGCCGCGGTGGGCCAGTGCCGTCCTCTGCAGAGGGCCTGGTTCACACGCGCGTGCGCACCACAGAGGGCACCGGCCAGGTGTGCGCACGTGGCGCCCTCGGTCCCTCCCTGGAACGGGCGCTTGAGCTTCGGCAGCGTCCCATGGCCGTGAGGGGCTGCGTGGCGGAGGGGACGCCGTGGCTCGCTTTGCGGAGAGGAACCGTCGCAGCAAATCTGGTTGCACTTAAAATAGCTGCCATTCCGATGCCGCCAGCGAGATTTCCCATCTGCAGAGCAGCGGTTATGTTCCCCCCCCCCCCACGAGCTTTGCAGGAATCCTGGGGGAAGATCAAGATCCGACACAGCGATCGATTGGCCCAGCGACTCGGGGGGCTTCGCATCCTTGGTACCACCCACGAAAGCCACGCGTGCGACCCGCACACAGCCGAGTGTGCGGGGCCACACGAGGGGCCTCCGGCCGCCCTGGGACTGAGCTTCTGGGATCCAGAGGAACGGCTGATGCGCAGCTGCCCTGCCGCTTCGCTCGCCTCCCGGCACCTCTGCCCGGCCCAACGAGCTCGGCCAGCATGACGTGTTGGGGAGCTTGCTGGAGCACAGCCCCCATCATCCCCAGCCGCCTTGACGAGCACAGTGTGACTTTCGATTTTCTCAAAAGAGAAAGTACCCGATGAGGATGGCATTACCTTGAAACTTGCCTTTTGGCTCCTGCATGGAAGCCCAGGTGCTTTACAAGCCCCCCCTGCTCTCCATTTTGCCTGCTCAGCAACAACCCTGTGAGGTAGGCAAGGCTGAGAGGCAGCAGGTGGCCCTGAGGCACCCAGCGCGCTTCATGGCTGTGCGGGGACTGGAACCCGGGTCCCCCATGTCCCCGCCGAACACGCTCACCACCGGCTGCCAGCCGACAAGCAGAGGAATCCCTCTTGGAATCCCACAGAAGCGGAGTTGGGGGGCGCGCCCAGTCCGGCGGAGAAGCGGAACCCTCTCCCCCAGCAAAGGATGGGCCAGCGGGGGGGCGAGGGCCGCCCCTGCCGCCCCAGGACACGGCGCTTGAGGCCGGATGCCGCCCGCGCCCTCTCGGGAAGCTGCGAGCGAGCGGATCCCTCGCCCTGCCGCCCCCCCCCCCACTAGCCCAGGGCTGCCCCTGGCGGTCACAGCAAGACAGGAGACACGGCTGGGGAGGGCGCCCCAGGAATCCTGCCGGTCCCCCCTCCCCCGCCTCTGGGGGGCATTTTGGGAGGAGGGGAACAGCTTGGGCTTCTCAAGGCGCAATCCCACGCGAGGGAAGGCAGAACAAGCCCCCCCGCATCAGAATGCACTGCGGATGGAGCCCTGGGCCGCTTCCAGGAACTGCGTCGCCCCCCGAGCGAATTCCTGGGAGTCTCCCGCGCTTTGCAACAATCCCCGTTGCCGATACTTCTCAAGGCTGCCGGAAAAGTTCCTGTACAGAATTGCAACGGTCCCCAACTCCCTCCTCGTCCCCTGTTCCTCGGGAGATGTGGGGCTTCGCTGCACGAGGCTGCTGACCTGCCTCTTTCCCAAAACGCTTCTGGCGGCTTCAGGGGATGACGAAGGGCTGCTCGCAGGGAGGCCCCGCCCGCCGCGCCTCCGCCTCCGCCAGCTTCTTGCGCGCTCCCGGGCCCCGTCGTGACAGAAGCGCCGGCGGAGCCTCTCCCAGGTTTTCCAGGCGCCTTTGCAGCAATTTTTTTGAGCAGGGAGAGTCTGGGATTTTCCGGGACGGGATAGTGGAAGCCGTGTGCAATTGCACAATTCTGCTCTACCCCACCACGCCAGCTTGTGAAGCGCAACGGAACGCAGGAGAATGTGGAGGAAAGCCGAGACGAACCTCTTGGGCAAAAACCCTCAAGAAGGACGCTCTTAGTTTAAGCAATTAGCTAAATAAAAAATGCAAATGTTTAGAAAGCGGGGGGGGGGGCTTTGTGCTAAGCACCACAAACTCCTCCTGGTAGTGTGGCGAAGGCCTCGTGCAGGGAAGCCCTCCCAGTTGGGGCATTCGCGAGCCCCCCCAGCCCCTTACCCCATGGCCTCGTTGCAAGAGAAATGGGGTCCATTAACGCGCTCCTTGAATGACGCCGCATGTCCCAACAGAGCTTCTTGTTTACGAGGAAGGTGAAAGGGAGGCTAATTTTAGCCAAGGGAGCGCATGGGTAACGGACGAAAAAGCGAAGCGGGAGGCAGAAGAGCAAGCGGCCCCATCCCGCCCCTGCGCTTCAGCCCTGCAGGGGAAAGCTCTTCTCGCCACCAGGGGCCTCCAAAGGCAAGAGCGGGGGGCGGCGGGGCGGGGGGAGCTGTGGCACGATCCGGTCCTGCTTCTCGAGGGGCTGGGTGCTGAGGATGCGTCTGCGTCTCGGGGCGACCCAGCGCTGCCTCCTCCCGAGCCTCGGCGGGCAAGGGTTGCCCTGGTGCCTCCCGAGGAGACCTGCTGCCCGCGGCTCCCTTCCTGGCCGGCCATGGGGCGAGGCGAGGGGGCCGGGCAGCTTCGGCCCGCGGACACGGAGCCTGCGCCGCTGCCCTTTCAACGAGCAAGGCCGCCGGCGGACGTTCCCTGGCGGGAGCGCGCCGGGGAGCGGCCGCGCGGACGCGCTTCGGGGAGGCGCGGGAGCAGGGGCCGCGGAGCTGCCGCGCTCCCGCGTGGTCGTGGCCATGGGGGCGGGGGGCCGGCCCGGGGCCGGCGAGGCCGCTGCGCCCTG